AGTTTCAGCCATTTTGGATACAGGTTGTTATGTAAATGTAACAGTCGTTTAAGTGAGTTGATGTCAGTGTTTTTGTGAAAATGGACAAAATCGAGTATCGAGCTGTCATTAAATATCTGGTTTTGAAAGGCAATACGCCTACACAAATTAAAAATGAGTTGGATTCTGTGTATAGGGACTCTGCACAATCATTTACCACAGTGAAATTTTGAGCAGCTGAATTTAAACGTAGCCGTAAGAGCTTGGGAGACGATGAACGTTCGGGACGTCCAAAACTGCAACTACCGACGATAACATCGCAAAGTTCACCAAATGGTGCTAGACGACCGCCGAATTAAAGTGAGAGAGATAGCAGAGGTTATGAACATATCAAAAGAACGTGTTTGTCACATATTAAATCAAGATTTAGGCATGAGAAAGCTGTCCGCGCGTTGGGTGCCGCGTTTGCTCACGTTAGACCAAAAGCGTGTTCGTATGAACATTTCCAAAGCTATGTTAGCGCAGTTTAGGCGCAATAAATCTGAGTTTTGGCGTCGATTAATTACTGTAGATGAAATTTGGATACACCACTATACACCAGAAACAAAAATACAGTCCAAACAGTGGACGGCAAAGGGAGTACCGGCTCTAAAAAAAGCAAAAACTATTATTTCGGCTGGGAAAGTAATGGCGACTGTTTTTTGGGATAGTCATGGAATTATTTTAATTGATTATCTTCAAAAAGGAAAAACCATCACAGGAGCATACTACGCATCATTACTTGACAAGCTAAAAGCAGAACTTACGGAAAAACGGCCACATTTACAGAAAAGAAAATCCTGTTTCACCAAGATAACGCACCGTCTCACACCTCAGCGGTTGCCATGGCGAAAATCCACGAATTACGGTTTGAATCCGCCTTACTCACCAGATCTAGCCCCTAGCGACTTCTTTTTGTTCCCTCATTTAAAAATTGCGCTCGGAGGACAGAGATTTTCGTCAAATGAAGAGGCAATCACCTTCGTGAACCACTATTTTGCAGAGAAAAACGCCGAGTACTATTTGGACGGGTTAAAGAGATGGGAGCATCGCTGGGAAAAGTGTGTAGAGTTACAAGGGGACTATGTTGAAAAATAAAATAAAATATTCAAAAAAAATGTCTTGTATCTTTGTTAGGTCGGAAACTTTTGAGACCACCCTCGTATTCGATAGAAAATGACGCTCTGAATAGAATGTCGTATCATATGTCAACTTCTGACATTTTCACATATGGTTTATTTGAAATTGTAACACGAGGTTCATAAAGACAATTTGACTCAAAGTAAAGTGGTACCAAATTATTTGTAAAAAATGCTTTTTTCCAAATATACTAATTCCACTTGTACCATTTGAAAAAATTGAGATATGATTAAAAATACGATTTGGGCATCTTTTAATCGGCCCGGACAAGACAGGAAAAACATTAGACGATCAAATCTATTTTTCCTTAAGTGTTTTTAACGCAGCCACTTAAAGATTGAAATTTAAAATACACCTTTTTTTAAAGTGAGAATGTCAAAAGTCGACATATGATATGTCATTCTACTCAGAGTGTCATTTTCTATCAAAAAAGTAAAAAAATACCGAGGGTGCCATTTAAAAATCAAAAGTTGTAGTTATTTCCGGTGAAACAGGAAGTGACCGAAAACAAATGAATGCATCAATCAGTGCTAATTTATGTCATATACTAACATACCAAATCTCGTTTTTTTCATCTAAAAAAATAAAAAAGTTATAGGGGTGAACCACTTTCGAGACGCACCCGGTACACTAAAATATTACTATAATTTAAGTAGCTTTTTGAACACTGAGGATTATGAAATTTTACACTAATTATCCTGATCTAAACCAAAAAGTCTACCTAAACGCTATTCTCGTCATATCGCACAAAACTACAGAATTTTTCGAAGAAATTTCTTTCAAGCTCCTGGGAGTCACCGATTCGTATTCTCACTAAAAAAAAGGAACTTCGAAGATACGGTGACTCAGTTAGATTATCTCTGTGCATGTAATGCCGGTGTATTCTGTATAGGATTAGCAACGATTACCACCACCACTACTACTGGACCACACTGATGCACTTGTCAATGGGCGCCAGTACAGGAAGGAAGAATTTTCATTCAGTGGCACTAATCTTGATATTTCTCGTAATCGTTGTGTGGGAGGGGAGGGGCATATATTAAAGAGCCCAGGGCAAGGACCAACCGCACGGCGCTGCGATAGTTTTTAAGTGGGAATAATTCTCGGAATAATTATTATTAGTAGTATTGGAACTTTTTTACAGTATGAGTGAACTTCGGAATTTGGAAATAAATACTCTAAAAGTTAATTGCCTTTTTTTTCATTTCACGTTTTTAAATAATTGAGTATTTTAATTATTTTTACATATAAAAATATGTAAAAACGTTCGTGTATAGTGCTAAAAGGCTTCGTTTTGGCTCTAGAAGTTTCATTTTTTTTTCAAAATAATTTCTGAACTAACGTGTCTGTATTTGGTTGAAAATTGATGTCTGAGTGGTTTTTAACATGATAAATTCGATTTTGATCCCTGTATGACTCCTACTTGTAGAGGGCGCAACCTACATAAAAAATAAAGTTTTAACTGTTTTGAGAGTAATAACTTTTCGTTCGTACCTGCATCACACTATTGAGTGAAAAAATATACATTTCCGCCCTTTTTACGTAAAAAATGTCTCTTGGTAAAAATCGCTACTAATAACGGTTCTCAAGATATTTGGAATGGATTTATAATCTTATTGAAATAAGATTATAAATCGAAAATATCACACTAAAAACTTCATGAAATACTGGAATAAAACTAGCAAAATAACTTTGCACCACCTACCCCAATAAAGAAGCAAAACAATGACTTTTAGCGATGCTTCGCAATTTGACACAAATGAAGCTAATGACACAGCCTTTGAATAAGAAGACTAAGGAAGGAGCATAATGCTATCCATGTATTCATGCATGGTGGGCGGAAAAAGCACCATAAAAGCACTCTAGGGTGGGGATCCTTGACAGTTCTGTTTGACGATTCATTTGACACATTTGAATTTGATTTGAAATTTTGTAGATTTGTCTGTCTTTACGGAGCTTATTTTATGTTATTTATTATTTATTCTACTACTGATAGTTGTATAAAGGTAGTAAATCTAGATGGAAATTGTGGCAGCACTTAAATTAACAGTGACACTATCGCGATTTATCGAAAAAGACTCTAAAATAGTTGGTTGTGTAGCGTGCGGTAGATCTCGGCAAAAATTGAGTGAAATAATGGAACAACTTTTCGCTAGTAAGTGACTATATAATATACATACGTGTAGTAAACCGATCATTTATGAAATTCACTTAAATTAACTAAATTATATATTTTTCTTGCATTTTAGCTTTTATTTATTACTTATCAAAGATTAGATGTCAAAGAATTTAGATACGTCAATTTGATTTATCTGCTTCAGTAGCGTATCGGATGTTTGTGTTAATAAATAATTATTATAACTTATCTATTTTTATTACAATTATATATTTTTGTAACAATTTTAATAACTACATTTATTCACAACGTAAAATAAAACAACAAATTATTGAGTCTACCCCACGTCTACCCTACATCATAGTTTTACATTTTTTAAATAAAATTAGAACGGCACTGGTAAACCGGAATATAAGTCGGCCATATTTGAGGCCCATCGCGGTGGACCTAAGATTTTTGATATGCTCCTTCCTTAGTCTTCTTATTCAAAGGACACAGCACTAAATAGAAATAAACACAGGACTTAACCCGGCTTAAATATAAATATACAGGGTGTCCCAGAAATAAGAATCATATTTCTAAGTCCAAAATAACGGAGTTATTTTACTTTGAACATTTCCAAAAAAACGATTTTTTGCTACAATTTTGAGAACCACTGGATCTTTTCCGGATTTTCTTCCTTGTAAATTTAATCTACTATCTATGTTGCCATATTATCAAGAAATTATTTTTTTAAATAAAAACTAAAAAAATCTCCCAAAAAATTTTCAAAATATTTTTTTCGCGAAAAAAACCTCATAGGCGTGTTTCTGGGGTTGAATTATAATACCAGTTAAAATACTTGCACTTATTTCTGGGACACCCTGTTTATAAATAATAAAATGAAAAAGCAAACGATCTAGCATCTAGAAAAGGAGCGAACACGTGCCATAAACTTGGAGAACTAACCTCTGCAAAACCGTCTCAGATACTGGCTTTTATCAAAGCCCTGAGACTATTGTATGACGATTTATAATTCAAGAAAGGGAGACAAAATATTTCGAACTCAGAAATTTAAAAATATTTTACCTTAATTACGAAACACCCTGTATAATAATAAGAAAACTATTTTCAAGGTCACGTGCCAAACAATACTGTAAATATCCCATTGATAATTGTTGTGGTTATTTTAAAAATACGGTGCTGTCACAGCTGGATAAAAATACCTACACGATGCACTTTAATTCTCTGTTTGCCTAGAAATAACAAAAAAACTTTAAACTCTTTAATGAAAGAAAGAGAATAATAAACTCATATATTCAATAGAAAATTACATATAAAAATGATATTATTTGTTGTAAAAACTTCAGAATTTTCTGTTCAAAACGACGAGAATATTATTTTTAATTTTATTGGCATTTAAAAAGGCTATTCCGTTGAATACACCAAACATCTGCACAAAGCGCACCGCACTTACATCGACAAAGGGAAACCTTCGGCCGGACGCTTGGCAACGCCGCAATCGACAAACTCTGCTCGATCAGTCGGCCGTCGCATTTTAGTCCGCGAACTAGTAACATGGCGACGGTAAAAGCTACGGCAAAATTTTTCACGCACGGTACGTGTGAACAATACGAACAAGTCCTCAAACTCTACCCGCAAGCACTCAAACTCAAGGCAGATAACAAGGCCAAGAAACCGGAGGAACTCATCAAACTGGACAATTGGTAAGTGATTTTCTCCCACTGTGCGTGTCTGCGATGATAAATAACTTAAATCTTGATGACAACTGACAACACTGTGTCAATGAACTCGGTTAATCAAAAGTTTCGGAATCTAGTGTCTTGTTTAAAGTGTTTTTCGAGCTTTGTTACCTACGGGAATCGTTTAAATAACGCCTGGGGAAGGTGTCGTGGCATAACGGCATCATGGCTGTTCTCGGTCGCTTGCCAACTCGTTTTACCACTCGAAAATCCGTAAAAACACCCTTTCCGTGTGTTTAAACTCCCAAACACGGTCCCTGGTTAAGGTATTTCGGGTTTCCGAGGCCTGGAAAGGTGGAATTTCGCTCGAAAACCAGTCGAAAGTGTTGCTTAACAAAGACGTTGGTCGGTTTCAAAATGGTTCCCGTTCGCGACAGACAAAGCACACTTGTACGTGTCGGACAAATTCCCGGTTTTTAGTCCCGGTTTTGGGCGAAATTGTCGCGGAAATGCGGTGGACGCACGTATCCGTATTGTTTACTTTCAAATAAATCCCGCCTTTTGCTATTTGAATTTTGATTGATCTTTACCGACTAGCGGTCGCTGGGTAGTGGAGGGGGCAGATATAATCGGCGATGTGCACATGTTTTCCAAGGATAAGACGGTGTTTTTTCGATTTGTTTTCAGTACAGTTTCGTGTTTTCGTATGATTTTTGTGATTGTTGCATTGCTAGGTTATTTGTTTAGTTGCCGTTTCAAGTCTCGCCGAAGGCGTGCGACAAAATTGATGGTTTCTCGGCTAGGATTATGCGAAAGGTTCATATTTTTCAATTTAATTCACTGGAACAGTTTGTTTTAGTTTTAATTTGTTATAGATTGTTTTTAATTCATATTTTGCTTCATAGGAATACTGTTAGTTTACTTTTCCTGTTATTTTTCTAAATTTAAATGTGCAAAGCTTTATTCAGAACCTCGCAATTAGTGGAGTAAATTAGTGGTTTCAATTAGCGTAGAAGTTTGTTCCTTTAATAAGCTTTTGTAAGCATTCAGAACGTCAAAATTAGTGGTAGACATTTTCAATTAGTAGAAAAAGTTATCAAACTTTTAACTTTTCCACTAAATATACCTACTTCAAAATTTGCCAGAAATGTCATTTTGACCTTTGATTATCTTCCGTCAAGAGAAATTGTGGTTAGACATCAAAAGTTGATTGTTTTATAAAATAAATATTGGGCTTTTCTATGGATACAACTGATTAACGCCAGCTGTTGCTAGGATATTATACTTTATATTAATTTTAATTGTGTTTTTTAATTGTGTTTTTTTAATTTTGTGTGTTTGAAGCTTTAGTGTGTTAACTTTTTCTATTAATTGAAAATTAAGCCCACTAATTTTGACGTTCTCAATGTTTACATTGAAATTAGAGGAACAAACTTCTACGCTAATTGAAACCACTAATTTCGCGGTTCTAAATAAAGCTTAAATCTTATAAACCAGGATACATATGTTAAAAACTATTTTCCGGACATTGTTAAATATTATTTTTATTTCTTTATTCTCTAAATATGTATATGTGTGTGCTTGAAATAGCCTGTATAAATAAAGTGATAAGTGATGACACTGCAACTCTCCGTGGCTCAAGTCAAACACTTGTATTACTGTTTGCTAATGAATATTGCATTATATGGTATTTTTTAGTATGCTCAGTGAAAACGGAGAACAGAACAGTGACTGTAATAATAAACTTTTCCAAGGAAGTTTCAAGCATGCGAGACAGTAATTTTATTTAAAGTTATTGTACTATTGTTTAATTATTATATTGAATGATGCTGAGATTACAAGAAGAACTTTGTTGAGTTATTTCCTTTGGGATGTATTAGGTAAAGACTGTCCAATATTAGAGAGAATTAATTATTTCTAGTTGGACAGATTGTACCAAGAAGTATTCTAACTTAAACAGTTTGTAGATTTGTGTCATTAACTAACAAATAAGCTGTAACTGATGTAAAGTAAATAAGAATACTAGTCTAAGACTGATTTAGTTAATAATTAGTTTGATTATGTGGTGTTTTTGGAGGATGTAGTCAATGTGACAACTCAAAAACGGTTTGTTTTGAATTGAAGAATGTTTGTAAACGCTTAACGCACGCGGTCGACCTTTATTAATAGAATTTAGCTCGGCATCTTTTGTTTTACCCGACCTTGACCTACAAGACGGGAAACACGTTTTGCACCGGAATTCTAATTACCTGCATCTCGGGCAGTACCGGAATTCGCAGAGATGCCACCGTGGCCGCCGGCACTGGCTCGTTTATTTGCGATAGGACAGTCAGCATTCAGTATTTCGAACACAGGCAGTAAACAGTGTACGGAAATAGTACCTGGCCTGTGTAGTTTGCATTTTCGTTATACAGGGGTGGTTATAAAAGTTTATAGTTAAACTTTTCATAGTTTTTGCGTATCGCTTAAAAGTCAATTATTTTATTTGTACCTAGAAACCTAGAACCTTTCTATAGAAAGGATACTTAGTTGTAAAAGGTATTTTATAGGGTATTTATACAGGTTGTTTGGAAGGGATATTTGATACTATCAGGAATACGAGGAGGAAGTGAAATTACGGCAAAGCTTCAGAATTTTGCGTCCAATAAAATTACATTTTGAAAATAAAGAAATTCAAAATTTTGCTTTGTGCACCAAAAAAGACTATAAATATATCGAAAATTTGACTCGAAATACCCAGTATGTGGTACCAAATCGTAAAAAATGCTTTTTCCCAATATGCTAACGAGCCATCCTTGTTCTTTTTGAAAAAATTGGCGCCGGGGGCACGTATAGCCGCCCATACTAAAATATGTTATTAAAAAGTTGGTAGGCAGTTCTTTTAGTTTCAAAGTAAAGGAATTTTTTCAATTTTTTTTAATCTCACAAACTGCGACTTGATTTTGATGTTATTACAAATTTTGTTGCAAATATTCCTAATCTTAAATTGAAAACCGCGTTTCGCTAGCTACTGTAATTTTGGAGCTACGATTTTTTAAAAATTTTAACCCCCTCCCATACCCCCTTAACAACCCCCCGCCCCCACCAAAAACTAATGGCCAGATTCTCGGGTGCCACAGTATTTTTATGCCAAATTTGGTTAAAATCAGTTTAGCGGTTTTTGAGTTATCGTGTTACAGACGGACAGACAGACAGACACTATGAAAATATTTTGTATTTAGGTCATTTATGACCCAAATAACATAACTCATTTTGAGTGCAAGAATAATTACTAGCTTTAAACGGCAATAACTTGTTTCATTTAAATGGAACACCCTATATATTTTACGTGAATCAGATGCACAATGTAATTGTCTATCAAATTGTATTATACCAATTTTTACCCATCTCCAAGTTTTCGTAGAAATTGCATTTTCTTATAATTTAGACCTCATTTATCACTATACCTATGGAATATTGACATTTCAGAACTCTTTGTAAAACCTAGTACCAATTAAATATACCACCATTATTTCCTACCAAAAATTAGTTAATTACATACTTTTAAATTGTTTTAATTAATAAATTATTCTAAATAAATGTGGATTTGGCTCAGAAATCAATATAATAATAAGTTATGAAAATGAATGTCTCTGTTTTTATAAATAAGCATTCGTCAATAAATGAAATAAAATTTATAAGGTGTTAGTTTTACCACACTGTGTAATACACACACAAAAATTCAGTTTTTTAGTATTTGGAACAATTATTACTACAACGTAAACAGTCAATTAATGTAGTTTGAATACTGGGATCATATTAATTGGTCCTCTTTAACAAAAAATATTCAAACAGTTTTTTTTATTTTTTAATAAATAAGCGAACTATATCAACAATATTAGTATATGTACCCTTTGAAAATTTGTTACATCTTTAAAAATAAGCTAAAATGTCAATATTCCATGGGTATAGTGATTAAATGAGGTCTAAACTATAAGAAAATGCATTTTCTATGAAAACTTGAAGAGATGGGTAAAAAAAGGAACAATACAATTTGATAGACAATTACATTATGTATCTGATTCACGTAAAATATATAGGGTGTTCCATTTAAATTAAACAAGTTATTGCCGTTTAAAGCTAGTAATTATTTAATAAAAAATTTTGGTCACTCTGTATTAGGTCGTAAAATTTTTATTATTGCTACACAATATATGACCAATAAATAATCTTCTGTAAATATTTAGTATTAAAAACTTTTATACCCTTGGAGAAATAAAGCCTTAAATTTTTTTCTGCAATTTCATAAAATTGAAAATATTTCAAAAACGGTAAGGTTTAAGTGTGATAAACCTTAATCAAATTTACCTTTATTTCAATCGTAGAATCCAAAAATAGAATAATATACAGGCTGTTCTATTTAAAAAAATACAAGTATAATATTTTTTACTTATTTGGGACAGTCTGTATCTTGTAAAAATATTTTTAAATTGTAGCTTTAATAGTCCTTCAACGAACCCAAAACTTACAATTTGTAAAAATCTAATCGTTTAGCTACAATACTCCGTGTCGTATGTGGTGAACAACCCTGTACAAAACTAATTTTCTACGTCTGGACATGAAAAAAATCTAGAAAATTAGTTGTTGTAGAAAATTAATTTTCTACGTGTATTAAATACGGTAAACCCTGACACTCGGTATAAAAATGAAACGAAAAGTAACCTACTGTGAACGGTTTGCTGCGAAGTAATTTTCCACTTTTAAAAGAAAGAGAATTGAAGCAAGGAAGTGTTCTTCGGTTGTAACGGGTCCGGAAAACCACTGTGCGTGAAACATCCCGTACGTTTTCTTCGGTGGTACCGGTTCTGAAGACAGGAAACAGTTGCGGTGGTAATACGCAGGTGTCTTTCCCTTAAAAAACAGCACGAGACTTTTTTAGTTTTGAAAAAAATAACACGCCAACATTTTTTTTTATTTTGCTGACTCCAAAAAATATATTTTTGGTTTGCAAATAACCAGTGGCGGCTCGTGGTTATTATTGTAGGGAGGTCAATATCTGAAAATATTGCGTCGATTTTTTTTAAGCGACCAAATTTAATTGGTTTCTCATACGGTACTTGTACGTTTAGTTAAAGGAAAATAAATCTAAAAATAAATACAAATTATGTTAAAATGAAACCTACCCTTACATTTTTAAACAGATGGTCTAGTGTCATTTCACTAAAAATCCAGTTTTTTCCACGATGGGATTTTAAAGACACTTAATAATAATGTCACAAAAATATAAATACATATACAGGGTTGTTCACCACATACGACACGGAGTATTGTAGCTAAACGATTAGATTTTTATAAATTTCAAGTTTTGGGTTCGATGTAGGACTATTAGAGGTACAATTTAAAAATATTTTTACAAGATACAGAGTGTCCGAAATAAATAAAAAATATCAAAGTTGTATTTTTTTAAATGGAACACCCTGTATATTATTACATTTTTAGTTTCTACGATTAAAATAAAGGTAAATTTGATTAAGGCTTATTACACTTAAACCTTACCGTTTTTGAAATATTTTCAATTTTGTGAAATTCCATTAAAAATGTTAAGGCTTCATTTCTCCAAGGGTATCAAAGTTTTTAATACTAAATATTTATTGAAGTTTATTTATTGATCAGTTATTGTGTTGCAATAATAAAAATATTACTACCTTATACAGAGTGTCTAAAAATTTATTTTAAATAATTTCTAGCTTTAAACGCCAATAACTTCTTTAATTTAAATGGAATGCCCTGTATATTTTAGGAGAATCAGATGCACAATTTAATTGTCTATCAAATTG